TGCTCTCATTGAATTAATTAGTAGATTATAAAATCCTGAATTAAAAATACAATATACTAATAAATTGAAATCCTTATTGACCAATAAAGATAAAAAAACCCAAATATGATAAACCAATCATTAGTTTAACTAAAACTTTAGACCGATTTAAAAAATAAAAACATAAAGAAGTCACCTTACAAGATTTACAAAATGAAATTAATCATATTAAGCTAACTATTCAAGAATTAAAAGCTAAAGACAAAACCTTAGAAGAAGACATTGCTCTATTAAAAACCAACAAAAGTCTTAATGATTTCCAACAATCCAATGAATTATCCTCTGAATCAGAATCTGAATCTAATTCTGAACCCGATCCAAACAAAGTCATCTTTGATAATAGAATTACTCCACATAGTAGTGATCACGATAGTAATCACCTTAATCTAATTAATCGAATTAATATTCAGAAATGGCATTCGAAAGTCAAATTAGTTATTAATGATTTTGAAATAGAAGTCATTGCATTAATTGATACTGGCGCTGAATTAAATTGTATTCAAGAAGGATTAATTTCTACCAAATATTATCATAAGCCTACTGAACCATTAAGTTCTGCTAATGGAAGTCAAATGCATATCAAATATAAATTATCAAAGGCACATATTTGTCAAAATAATGTTTGTTTCAAAACATCTTTTGTGTTTGTTTGAAACTTAACTGATAAGGTCATTTTAGGTACACCATTTATCTTTTTACTATATCCTTTCACTACTACTCCTAAAGGAATAATTACACAGGCTTTTGGTCACATTGTCACTTTTAAATTCTATCTCCACGAGATCAAAGAATTAAATCAATTAAAATAATGTTCAATTTCTCAATCTATTAATTGATTAACCAAATAACTCAAATTTCCCAAAGAGAAAGTAAATTACAAACGAATTGAATCTCAATTAACTAATCCCATTCGTATATCCAAAATTGATGGATTTAAAAACCAATTAACAAATACCGTTTGTTCTACTTTACCTAGTATTTTTTGGCATAGGAAAAAACATGTAGTAACACTCCCTTATATTAAAATTTTAATGAAAAACAAATTCCTACCAATTTTAGACTTATTCAAATGAATCATGAATTAATGGAAATGTGCAAAAAAGAAATTAACAAATGATTAAAAAATAATATTATTAGTAAAAGTAAGTCACCTTGGTCTTGTCCTACTTTTGATGTTAATAAAAATGCTGAACTTGAACGAGGTGTTCCCCGATTAGTCATTAATTATAAACCACTAAACAAGGTTTTAGAATGGATCCGATATCCAATCCCTAATAAAAAAGATTTAATTAAAAGACTTAGTCAAGCCGTCATTTTTAGTAAATTCGATTTAAAAAGTAAATTTTGGCAAATACAAATTCATCCTGATGACTGTTATAAAGCTGTCTTTACTACCCCTTTTGGTCTTTACGAATGTAATGTCATGCCCTTTGGATTAAAAAATGCTCCTTAGTGAATTTCAAAATATTATGAATGAGATTTTTAATCCCTTTAGTCATTTTTCCATAGTTTACATCGATGATATCCTCATTTTCTCTAAGTCACTTGATGAACATTGGAAACATCTTAATTTCTTTTTCCATATTATCAAATATAATGGTTTAGTCATCTCTGCTCCTAAAATTAAACTTTTCCAAACTAAAGTTCGATTCTTAGGTTAGGTTCCTTGAATTACATTGCTGAATTTTATAAAGACCTTAGGAAAACTTGTCAACCTCTATTTGATCGGTTAAAAGATAATCCTCCACCTTGGTCTTCTACACATACTACTATTGTTCAACAAGTCAAAAAATATGTCAAGATTTTGTCCTGTCTTGGTATTCCTACTGAAAATTCTTTCAAAATTATTCAAACTGATATCTCTGATGTTGGTTATGGAGGTATCCTTCTTCAGAAAATCACTCCTCAGTCATCTGAACAAATCGTTCGTTTTCATTCCGGTGTCTGGAATAAAGTACAAAAGAATTATAGTACTATTAAATAAGAAATTTTATCTATTGTTTTATATATTAGTAAATTTCAAGATGATATTTTAAACCAAATTTTTTTATTATGTATTGATTGTAAAAATGCTAAATATGTTTTAGAAAAAGATGTTCAAAACATTGCTAGTAAACATATTTTCGCCTGATGGCAATCTATTTTAAGTATTTTTGATTTTGATATTGAATATATACCTGGTCATCAAAATTCTATTCCAGATTTCCTTACTCGCGAATTTTTACAGGGTGGATAAAGGATGGCTACTCCTTTTATTTCCTACTATAAATTAAAAGTCACCTATTATAGAACGCTTGTTTACCAAACTACTTACCGTATTGTTTGCCTTAAGACAGCTTGCAAAACTATTCGCCGTGCACAATTCATGCAATTTCATCAAATTACCAGTCGTCGCAATTTACTTGCTCATTATACTAATTGTCTTCATTTCCATATGAACAAATTAGATATCCTCAGTGGATGCTAATTCTGTTCACCTTATTTGCCTACAGATGTCAAGGCCTTCTAGTAAAGCCATTGTTCCAACAAGTAAATCCATTGTCGTTCCTCCTATTGACCTAGTCACCAGATATCATCTTATTGACAGTATCAACCGTTACCAAGTTCTTGGTAATATCCCTAAACCTAGTTATACATCCGCTCTTGCTTTAAATCCATTCGCTTCTTCTTCTCAGTCACTCACTCCTTAGCCTCCTAACCCAGTCAAATCAGTCCGATCTGATTATGTCAAATTTCAATCAACTAATTTCTTTTTCAAAGAACCTATTCACAAGAATACCCATAATGTTCTTGATCTAGTTAAATCCTATTTCCCTCCTGGATGGCATTTTGTTCCATTCCATCCAGAAAAGTCAATTACCTACTACAAAGATATTCTCTTTCATCATTAGTCAATAATCATTAAACCTATCTATGATCGTACATACACTAGTAAAGTTGTTTACAATTCTCTTTAAATCCACAATATAGTTTCTCTTGATGAATGGGGTCCTCCTTTTCAACTCAGAGATTTACCTGGTCATACAATCCAATATAGTTATTATGACTATATGGATGCCTGGTTTAAAGTTCTCCTGTATCAAAATAAGTCATACAGTCACTCCTGGTTCCTCTAATTTGACCATAAATTCAAGTCAGAATTTCCCACTTGGTTTCTTCGATGGTGGACTCAGCATGGTGCTATTCCTGAAATCTTCCCCTCTGTTTTAATTGAACAAGTAAATTATTTCTCTTTTGTTTTTAAATTCAGTCAACAACAAAAACAATTTCCCTGGTTACTCATTTTTATATCCAAATACAAAGTTCTCTGGATATTTAAATGGTAATATCCTATTTTTGATAACCTGGTTATTCGCCAATACTTTGTTAAATGGTGGGATAATTTTAAACCCCAACGCATAATTGATCAAGTTCAAGAAGAATTCCCAGTCAATCTCCATACACCAACACCTGCAATGGTCAAAGCTTAGCAGAACCCAACTGCTTCAGTCACCCAAGGAATTCAAGGAAGCCTAATTCCACCAGTTAGACTTGGAAGTCCAACAACTAGCTCTTCCAAGCCCAAATCATCCAAATCTAAGTCAACTCAGTTAAAGCCCAAAGCTAAGACCAAGTCATCCAGTGATGAATTAATCCAGATGGCCAAGCTATTGATGGCCCAAGCCAAGTCACAGGTTGGAGATGAAACCTTTGAAGAATCTAGTTCCTCCGAGGCTTCAACCAATAATGATCCTTATGGGCCCCAGTTTCAAGATACTTAGGACCCATATGCTTAAACAGTCAGCCATTGGATTCTATATATGTATAAATCAGCTTCAGTCACATCTTTTAATTTGAGAAAAGCTACTGATATACATATATATATTGATTCCCCATTAGTCAACTGTGCAGTCACGTTCCCTTACTGCAAGTAAAAAAAAAAAAAAAGGTAAAAAAGTTATTGGTCACGGAAAAATGCTTTCTGTACCTATGTACCTCTTATTTTCAAGCTTTTTAGAAGTCACAAGTCTCACAGTATTTTCCAACTTTTGAAGTCACAAGCCTCATGGCTCCAATCACGGGCCTCACACTTCCAAGTTTCACAAGCTCAACAGTAATCAACTTTGCCTATAAAAGAGGCGTCTCAGTCAAGACCAAGGCAGAGGGAAAAAGAAGGAGTTCACAATTTTCTTTCGCAATTTCTCTCAATCTCTGTAACAATTTAAGTTTCTTTTAAAATTTAGTTTTAAAGGATGCAAGTAGAAGCTGTATTTTCCAGTTATTTTCAATAAACAATTCTGTATTTTCCGATTACTTCCAGTAACCAATTGTAAGTTAATATTGTGATCTTAATCTACTTATTTGTTCTTATTTAAAACATTTTATTTCGTTTATTTATGTTTATTTAATTTGTTAGTTTATTAAATTTATGTACATATTTGCTTGAAATTGACTTGAGATTGTAACACAACGAGGCCAGACGGTATGAGCTGGAATTTTGTAACATATGATTGTATTGTTCTGTGCTGGTATCAATACCAAAGAAGCTTAACAATTTATCGCCAGTTCTGCTTCTTTATCAATAAGACTGGTTGGTACAACTTATTGGGACCGTTTATAGTTTTTTTCATTTGGGAAATCATGCTAGCAACTTTATGATGAAAAAATTGCATAATTGAGAAATTTTTAATTATTGAGAAGTTGATGGAGTAATGTTTTGAATTTCTGATTTTTTAATAACTTTTAATTTACAAGGAACTGCATTGAATGGAGTCAATATGCATGATGTGCCAAGGCTACATGGTTCCCCTCATTTGATGATTCCAAATGTAACTTGATCTACGTTCTCTTGTTATTTTCATATCTGTATTTCAGCATTGGATGCACACACTGTAAGTAGAGTAACAGACAAAGTGAATTCTCTTGCTCAAAAGGTTCAATGCCGTTTGACAAAAAATGAAATTTCCACTAATCAACAAGCATAAAGTGAATATTAATAAAATTTGCAGGGTAAAATTCAGTACACACCACCATAGGAATATATTTCTCTTCTCAAACACTTCTTTGTCACTAATAGTTGCATCTCTAGTCATAATCAATGGAAAACAATATATTTTCCTTCCATTCTCTTCTCAAATTTATTACATATTCAACCAATGTAACAACAACAGTGATCTTCTTCAAGGGCACTTGAACTTGCCGCCATGGGTGGTCATGTCAGTGTAGCACTTACCACACTGCTCTCGATTGCCATATGTTCCTGGTGGAACACATTTGCATCGGTCACAGCAAGTCATGCATGCCCTCAAGCATAGTCTCTTCCTTGAGTGTAATTTGCACCTCTCTACACAAAGGGGGATGCATTCTGCACATATTTATCAAATGCATTGTTAGAAAACTATAAACCGAATCAATCTAAGCCATGTGTCCCAATCACGTGAAAACATATGGTACCTATTCTTGTCCTTGGTGGGGGCTTAGTTGGTGGCTCATTGACTGGAGGAGCAGGAAGTACTGGTGGCTTGACCGGGGGAATGGTTGCCGGTGCCTTGACTGGGACTTGAGCAGGAACCGGTGCTTTCACTGGGCTGTGAGCTGGGGCTGGCACCAGGACTTTGGCATAAGTAGCCTAAACCAAGTTATCAAATTTAACATTCATTCAATATAATGGCTCAGCTATATTGTGTTCTCTTTTACATATATCAATAAATACAGTTGAAAAGGCAATTTTTTTTCCAATTAAACTGGTTTGTCAATGTCTAATTAACAAGGGAATCTTCCTAAAAATAGGAGGTCAAAACCCGCAACCTCTTTCAAATAAACCAATATAGCCTTTTTTGTTAATTAGACTTAGAACTGTGCCCCCAATCATGTGGTGGGAAGCTGGAGTGAATATCACACAAAATGTATATAATTTGTTGGATATAATTGAACCAAAGTTATCTGAAAAACCAATTACTGAGCTATCTAGTCGTAAAGAGGAGCCAGACATGGTTTTAACATTACCTCAGTCAAGAATTCCTCATCATTACATGAAACCTACGAAAGTGAAAGACGTCTACAGAAGTAAGAAATTTATAGGGTAAAAGGAAAGAATAATTTATCTAACTTAATGTTTTATGCTTAAATTAGAGCATGACTGAAGAACCCAATGAAGAAATATGTCTACTTATCCTACTCTCTATGCGCGGAAAAAAAAAAGTTCTGGTATTCGATTCACTAAAATAATCTCTTTAGAAATGTAATAAGGTTGCGTGTATCTTACCCTCCTCAGATCCCACTTTAACAGGAGTCTCGTGCATTGAGTTGCTTGATAAGGAAAAAGGAAAGAATAATTTATCTAACTTAATGTTTTATGCTTAAATTAGAGCATGATTGAAGAACCCAATGAAGAAATATGTCTACTTATCCAACTCTCTATGCGAGGAAAAAAAAAAGTTCTGGTATTCGTTTCACTAAAATAATCTCTTTAAAAATGTAATAAGGTTGCGTGTATCTTATCCTCAGATCCCACTTTAATAGGAGTCTTGTGCATTGAGTTGCTCATATTTTTTACTCTGTATTACTCAAGAAAAATGATATACAACGAAGCTCGACAAACCACAATGCATACACCCTTTTAGAGGGTATGAGAGAGAGAGACATACCCTTGTAGTAAGTACAAGAAAAGAGGCTAGCAGAAAGAGCATAGTTTTCGAACCCATTGTAAAGTAGTATAACAAAAGAAGCCAACGAGTACTCAAAAGCTACTTGGTGAAGTGATGATTCAAGCAGAGCATGAAGCTGTTGTTTATATAGAGAGAAGCAAGAGTGATGAAGACAAAAGTACTCCCAAGCTGGTGTGGGTCATATGATCAAATTCCAGCTTCACTAAGATCAGAGAGACAGTAGTGAATGGTCCTGGATGGATAGATGTGGTAGCTAAATCTGACTGTAGGCTCTCAACCCACATGCCACAAGCTTTGTGTCTGGCTGCTAAATTAATATATCCATTCTCATCGGAGTGTGTGTATGTGCTGTTTGTTACAATAATTTATTAACCGGCACACGAGGTCTTTCTTAGGAACTTGGAGCTGGTTCAGTTGGTCGACTTCATCATTTAAGAAATTAAAAAATAAATGACGTTATATATGGACTCTGGTTCATCTTGGTTCTTTCATACTTGAAAACGTGTCTACCCCCAGTACCTAGGGGAGCCATGACCAACACCATTGCCTCGTGGGGCATAGAGGTATCTTTGTAATTTTTCAATTTAGCACTTTCTTCTACTCCAAAAAATGTTACTGAAAAGTTATTTTTTTATATGTGCCAAAGGGTTTAATCTTCATTAAAATGGTGGGCAGGCTTCTGTTGTACAGGCTAATTATAACAATTGCTACCCCATCAAGGGCCAGCAGTGCAAAATGGTTGGCCTAAGCTAGAAATTAACCCTAAAATTGTAACTTGCCTAGAGTTTTCCAACACCTTATAATAATATATAGTAATATGTAAATACTCCAACTCTCTTCACATGTGGTGTTTCAGTAGTCGCATGGTGGGTGTCTATATCAAATACTACAAATCTTTGAATAAAACATGTTCCTAAAACTAATTTATGAAAGAAAGCATCAAAAAACTAGTACTCACTTGGATAAACTCATTATTAATTGATGTGAGATCAGAACAAATTGATGCAATTGCTGAAGTTCTTTTGGATGTGAGATTTAAATTAGAGAACCAAACCCAAAAAAAAAAAAATTGAAATGAAAAAATGAAAGGTTTATTACTTTAACAAGCATGGTACTTCGGTTTTGTTGTGTTAGGGCACCAATCACTTAGTAGAGGCATTCATACACACTGAAGATAAGCCAACTACAGGCTGGCATTTGTGGTGCTAGATTGGTGATTACCAAGGTTTGACCAGTGGCACTATCTGTGGATTTGCTGCTAAATTAATCTCATCTTAATTTAATTAAAGAGTGTATTACTGCTAATAGTTTATGGGCCCTCGGACGCAGTTTATTGGGCTTGAATTGAACAAACGTTTTCCAATGCAAGATTTCATGGATTTTCCTCATTACTTACATATTTTAGTTGTCAATTTGCTTATAAACAATTTTGTTAGTTTACTAGCAACCAGCTAGGATAGGACTATTGATCACTTGTTCTCAAGTTTCTCTGTCCTAATCTATTTGCAAGTTCTAAGTATTAGATCATGTAAAATATCAAAACACGTAAATTTGAGGCAGGGTCCAAGTAATTGGGATGCATTTAGAGAATCTCATGCCTACAGATTATTTGTCCTAAATCTATTTGTCCTCTTATTTCAAAACATTAATTCGAAATGAGTTGGTCGTGTTTTAGATTTTAAAGTTCATTTATTACATAACACATCAATTAGTAAGAAAATTTGCAAAATTTGTTAGTTTGTGTAACAAATTTTCCAATAAAAATAAAACTAAACAAGAAGTCAACAGTACAGGGTTTCCTCTCTCCCATGCTTTGCATCTGAGATATCACAGGTCATCTTAATTAATCATGAACAGTGTTGTTAGCTAGGTTCATTGAGTTGAACCAGAAACAGAGTAATGGTTTATACCTAGTAAGCTGCACTGAACAAAAAATATCTACACTTCATCAGAATTGAACATTGTAGAACAACTTTTATACCATGTTTAGTAAGATAAGAACATGATTCTCAATGGACTAAGATCCTCTCCATTTCATGGTTGTAATGGAAGATGTCCATTGCATCATCTAAGGGTTGTGAAATAATCATGAGAATTTGTAACACCCCGTCCCACATTGAAAGTTTGCATTAGTGATTTTGGACATATAAAGCATCACTACCTTGTTACTAAATAACTTTTAGAACATGTTGGTCAGGTTACTTGGGCCAACAAGCAGTAGTTGGGGCATACGAAAGTAGTTGGGGCATACGAAATATGATATTAGATCAGAACCATGTGCGCTATTTATTTTGGGCTCTATCTCACGTAGGAAGGTAGTTACAACTTTAGAATGGAGAGGATCCAATGATTACAAATGGAGAGGATCAGGAAGGTAGTTACAACTTTAGAATGGAGAGGATCCAATGATTACAAATGGAGAGGATCCAAACTCTTGTAATCGTTGTGGTTGGCTTATAATTCTATATTCTTGTACTTCAAAATTTTCACATAATCCAATGATTACAAATGTTTTGAGACAAAATAACAAAGACATTTGTGAGTATGTGTGAGTGAGAGTTTAACCATTTAATTAGTAAACAAAAGTAGAATCACTGGTCATCCTAATACACACAAAAAAATAATAAAGATCCAACAAATAAAAATTGGGTGAGGAATCAATAATGTAAATAAATAAAGAAGTTAATAAAACAACCAATATTTCAACTAATAAGTTACATATATGAGGAGGTTCAGAAGAACCATGTTTATTGTCTTCCCATCATAGGGTTTATTAAATGATGATTAAACTAACAGAAACCAACTGAATCAACAAAACATGAAAAACATCATCATGATGATAAATTGCAACACAGAATTAATATTAATTAACATTTAACATTAGAGATTAGGGATGATTGATGATTTAATTGGGTAGGTGGGAATATTTTCTAAGGACACTTAATTGGAGTTCCATGGTAAACGATTTCATCCCAGCCAGTGCAAGTCTTTCCATCTGAAGGGAAACATTTGCATTTTTTGCAGCAGGCAGCACATATTCTCTGGCAGTACCTCTTCTTATGTTCTCCCATGGTATGATGTTTATCACAGTAGTGCCAACACCCATCTGAGCAACCTGCATTACCAAAGTCCCATGCAACATTGTTTTGTCAAAAACAAAACCTAAACAAACAAACAATCAGATTACTAAAGGGATAGCATAGTCTTATTTACACACAAAGATTGTATTTGGATCATGAATTTAAAAAATGAAAAAGAAAATGGGAATGAAATATAACTATATTTCATTTACATTTCACCTACTTTTTTCTTCTCTTTTCAAATCCTTACCTAAATCCATAATACAAACACAACCTAGATGAGATCATAAACTGTTTCATTTTTAAAAAAATATCATGTGTTGTTAAATTCATAAACACTATATTTGCATCTTCAGATTTTTTTTTTTTTGAAAAATCATATGCAAGTCTACTTTTTAGACCCACTTTATAAATCTAGTAATGTATCAAGAAGATGATTGGTTGATAATTATCAACCAATTATCAGCCAATTATCTTCTTGACATATTATTAAATCTTGAAAGTGAGTCAAATTTTTGAATTTAAATAACAATATTTTAATGATGTGGCCTGAAAATTTGTGGAGTTTGCATTTTTTGTAGTCCTAGTTATACTTCTGATCTCTTAAACTGTGTATTTTGTGTCATTTTAGGCCTCGTTTGGGAACAGGCTAATTTAGTAACTTTTTGGCTATTTGGCTAAAAAGGTAGGTAAAAAAAACTTGTATGTTTGGGATGACTTTTTGGCTAATTACGAAAAGATGTGCAAAAAGTAGAGAGAAAAGAGAAAGTCAAATTTTTGAATTTAAATAACAATATTTTAATGATGTGGCCTGAAAATTTGTGGAGTTTGCATTTTTTGTAGTCCTAGTTATACTTTTGATCTCTTAAACTCTGTATTTTGTGTCATTTTAATCCCACTATTTCAATTGTGACAAGAAAAACTGACTTTTTATCAAGTTTTTTCAAAAAAGTCATCAAAAAAGTCAGTTTTTTTTTGCCAAAAAAGCCACTAAAAAAGTCAAAAAATTAATTTTTTACCAACTTTCCAAAACACCTTAATGCCCAAATAATTGATGTGTAAAGCAGGCTACATAAATGACTCAATCTATGTTCATCGAGAATATTTGGAAAATTCTAGAGGCTTCAAAATTTTCACTAAATATTTTATCAAATGTCTCGTATACATGTAAACCTATATTTATATGGGATCCATTTCATATAAGATATTTGATAAAATATTTGATAGAAATTTTAATATATTGACACAATCAAAATACCGACACAAAACACATACTTATCACAAGTACAATTAACCCAACCCCCCCTCCCCTCTTTTTTTTTGGGTAGAGGTGTAATTTTTTTATAAGAGATTTGGTCAAAATTTTCTCATAATAAAATTTTAATGCATCAAGAATAAGTATAAAAAAGTCTTCTTTAAAAAGTCCAGCATATACTACTATTATTAAAATATTAAATTTTAAAATAATATAACTTTTGATATAGATGTCGGTTATTAATAATATTAGTATTTTTAGAATTATCTCATCAAGATATATCAAATAATATCTATGTTGACTATGAAATTCTTAAATAAAAAAAATTATTTCGAAATTAATATAAACAGTAACATATTATTCTAGTTCACAATATTATCCAAGAAAAAAATGAGATATTTTACTTTATTTTTACTCAATTACGTGTTTCTTCCTTAGGGGGTTTATAAAGCCAAATAAATTGGATTATTATTTTCACCAAATACAGATCGCTATATTTCCTTTTTTTTATTTATTTAAAAAATGTCCTTTTTTACTTGTATGATGTCAGCTGGGAATGAAATTGATACAATTTAAATGATTAGAAATAAAATAACACAAAGTGCATACAAGCGTTTGGTAATATTTACATTTTTGGTTTATATTTACAAAAAAATTATAAATTGATTTTTGTTTATTTTTAAAAAAATATAAATTATAAACGCGTTTGGTTTGAACAAAATGTATGAAATTTTTTAAAAACATAAACTAAGGGGTTGTTTGGGAAGCGTTAGATTAGTATACTTTTTAATTTTTTACGAAAAAAAAGTGAAATATGAATTGAGTTTGAAGTGATATAGTAGAGAGATGATGTAACCCAAATAAGATGATTGTGACCCAAATTGAATAATGTGCTAAAATAGCACATGCAAAACAAGCACTAAAAAATATGTTTGTTCAGACTTAAAATATTTATATTTATCTTTTATTATTTATGACAATGGGATCTCACACATTATAATTGGGGAAAAAAATTAATTAAAAAAATTAATTGAAAAAAATTTGTTAGTTAAATTTCTGTTTAAAAACGAACGTAAACTCATTTTTTGAGTTTATATTTTTTTCTCAAATTTACAAATTGAGACCACTATTTATAAATAAAAAAAATTATCAAATAAGTTTTTATGATAATTTTTAAAATTTTTATAAATATAAATCACGAAACATGTTCTTGGCCTAGTTTGGGAAGACTAAATAAGTGCACTTTTTGACTTTTTATGAAATATGAGTTGGGTTTGTGTTGGGTTTGAAGTGATGTGTTAGAGAGGTGATGTGACTTAAATAAGATGATGTGACTTAAATAGGATAGTGACTTAAATAGGATAGTGACTTTTTGACTTTTTTCAATCATGCCAAACTTGACCTTAATAACCAAATATATAATTTTTTTATTTAATATTGTTTTAGGGCATTTTGATGTTTTAGGAGTAGCATTACCGTGAAACTTTGGTGGCTCGGGAGATTCGGATTTGACAGGAGGATAGACATGAGGCATGGGTGCATATGCTGGAGCCTTCTTTGGGGTTAAGACCGGTGGCTCGGGAGATTCGGATTTGACAGGAGGATACACAAGAGGCATGGGTGCATATGCTGGAGCCTTCTTTGGGGTTAAGACCGGCGGGGTCTTAGCCGGTGCATAAGCTGGGGCGTGGGCCATTGCCTAAAAACAAAAACAAAAACAAATTGATTTCTTAAAGTGAAAGTAATGATTATTGATATAAAGGGTTTGAAATGAGAGTTGGGTTAAAATAATTTATTAAAAAATAAAATGAATTAAAATAATAAAATATTACATTTAATTCATAATTATTTTACTTTTTCCTTCACAACAATTAAATCAATTATAAAAAAAATTAATTATCTTTCCAAACATAATTATTTTAATCAGGTTAAAATAGTCACAAAAAAAAAAAATATCAAATAGCCAACTAAAATAATCAAATTCCCAAACAAGGCCAAACTATAAAATACTTAATTGTTAAAAATATCTAGACATGATCCAACTATTGTAAATATTTTGAAATAAACGGGTAATAAGATTTAGAAATATAAAATCTTTAACATATGTAGCAGCAATTTAAGCAAAAAGCCAAATATTAAATCTTATAAAAACTCATTCAGCTAAATACATGCATCTATATATATATATCATCTTCAAAGGATCGAGCACAGGGCCGGCCCTGAGGGCAGGTAAGAGAGGCTTGCGCCTTGGGCCTCCAAATTTAGACTGAAAATAGAGACCCCCAAATATAATTTTGTGTTTTAGATATAAAAAAAAGGCTCAAATACTATACACTCAATTGAACATAGGGTCCAAAAAAAGCAACAATACTAAATTTTTATTTTTTTTTAAGTATTTGTAATGATTGCTTCTTATCTTAATATATGAAAGTAAATTTTTGTTTTTAATTTTAATGATTATATATGCAAGTAAATTTTTTTATAACTACAAACAAATAAAAAAGTTGTAACTTATCGTTTTATTCATGATTTTTTTTTTTGTAATTACAAACAAATAAAAAAGTTATAACTTATCGTTTTATTCATAAATTTTATTTATTTTTTTTAATATAAGAGGGTCTCATTTTCAAAGTTCATCTTGAGCCCCTTTAATCCCAGGGCCGGGCCGAGCACAGAATACACTCAGCTCAATTAGATTATTTGCAAAAAGATATAATTGGTGAGTTCAACAACATGAAAAATCAAGAGAAAGAAAAAAAAAGAGAGAGAGCAAGAAATAGTTGAAAGCATGCACGTGACCCTTTACGTGGACGTGTGACTTCCCAATTCACGTAAAAATGTGAAAAAAATAATAAAAAAATCTCTGTAGTGATATATAGGTGTTGTTTGGTATATTTTATTGTAAATTAAAAGTTAATAATTCAAAAGAAGAAGTTCAAAACACTTCTCACTCAATTTTTAGAAATTAATTTTTTTTTTCAATTTATTTAAATTGTTTTAACTTAATAAACTATAAAAAAAAATTATATCAAATAGTTTGACACAAATTTTTTAAATAAAAAAAATTATAAACAGCTTAAATATGGCACAGTACCTTTGTAGTGAGTACAAGCATGTAGGCCAAAACAAAAAGCATGGCTTTCATGGCCATTGCGGAAAGGAAAGAAGCCAAATAAGTTTTGGCAAACAAGAAGTGTGTGTGTGTGTGTGTGTGTGTGTGTTCAAGTGATGAAGTTGGAAGAGTAAGAAACTAAGGTATATATAGATATAAAAAGCAATGAGTAAGAAGGAGAGAAGGGAGGTGAGTTGCAGGCTGGCAAATGCGTAATAATAAGGGCAGTGGCATATTCCCCAGATAAAGACGATATCAGATAGAAGCAACTCTAGTTTAAATCGGATTTTTAGGATACAAAATTTACTAGGCTCTATGCTTTTGTCTGCCTTATGGGATAATTAATAATAGTTTATGGACCAGAGTACGAGGTTTACGTTCTATTTATTAACAACTTCAATCAATGCAAAGAGTCTACGATTCTCTCGCTCGTCTCGTTGACTTTCTCGATCCATACTACTCAACTTCTCCACTTGTTCATGAAGTCATACTGGTTAATCTTCCAACTAGCATATTATAGGTTTATTTGCAAAATAAAAATGTTTGATAACTTTAAAATGAGGGTGATTATTCAGTATTTTCGGAGTATGGACACGTGGTACTCCATAATGTTTTGATTGGTGGAGAGACACAAGGGCCCACGATTTATGTTGGAGATGGGGGGACAACATGGGACTAACTAATTGGTGATTAGTTTGGAGCATGGACACGTGGTGCTCCGGGAATATTGAATAATTTCCCCTACAATGAGGCCAAGTTTGGGAAGTCTCAAATAATTTATCTTTTTATCTTTTTTTCATCACATCACCTCTCTACTTTTCTGTACATCTTTTCGTAAAAAGACAAAAAGTGTACTTATTTAGGTCATCCTAAACAACCCCTTAAATGAGTTATAATTATGTGACATTAGTTCATGTGTAATTATTATTAGTTTTTATTGATATTTTTCATTTTCTTTTAATTTGCCAACACACTATAACTCTATTTAGAATTTTTAAATTAAAATTATGTATCATACCTCTTTGCAAAAATATTAAATGTATCACCGGATTAGTTCATCCTTCGTGCATGTGCACACAATAAAGTCATGGGTATGCGTACAAATTATCATATTTAAAAAAAAAAATAAAATTATAAACTGAAAATTATACCCCCAAAAAAATCCAAAATCATTAGAAAAAAAAAGGGAAGTAAATGCCACATGAAAATAATGTATAGTAGCCCTCTTGCAAAAAATGAATTTACTCTCGCAAAATATGTAAGGACTTTTAATGAAATTGGCAAGGAAATTGGTTAATGAAATATTAAACAATTAAAAATTTCTCACCTAACACTACAAAAAATGAAGGTTTTATAGACTAAAATTTAGAGATAAAATTAGTTTTTAAGAATCAAATATTTTTGTGGCAAAAAATGTTATTATGAGATATTTACTAATAAACCTCATCTCATAAATAAGTACTTCAATTAGTCTCAAGTTTTTTTTATTGATCTGTTATGCCCTATTAGTGAATGGTTTCTTTTCGTGTGTTCATATATATATTTTTTTTATTTTGGTAGTGTTTTGGTTGACAGTTATACTTTTTTGTTAATATGACAGGTATGATGTGATATTCCAATGTAGCAGGTATAATGTAACATTTCGAAAAAATTTAAAACTCCTTAGTGTAATTTTTCTCAATGTGACAACGTGGTGAGTATGATCACTACAAGAATTTACACATTTTGCGACCACTTTTGCCAACCAAAAAAATTTTGGTAGCAAAAAAATAACATTTGGCGACCAAATATTAATTAGTCGCGAATGATCATTATTTTTGCCGACCATATATTATTGGTCGCAAAAGGTTATATTTTGGCGACCAAAAAATGAGTTGGTCGTAGAAAGTGGTATACTTTTGCCGACCAACCGGAAATTTGGTCGCGGAAGGTCACATATTTTTTGGCGACCAAAAATTTGATCGCGAAAAACTTAGTTTTAGCAACCAAAAAAAATTAGTCGCCAAATTAGTACTTTTAGCGACTAATATTTTAGTCGCCGTTGATTGAGATTTGGCGACTAAAAATTTTTGTCAACGAAAGTACATTTTCTGCGACTAATCTGGTCTTTTGGTCGTCAAAAGTTTGGAAGGGAAATTTGAAATCTGCAAGCAAAAATGGGAATTTTGGCGACCAATATTTGGGTCGCCAAAACTGTCATTTCCTGTAGTGCAAAAACGTTTAATCTCATGCTCTTTTTTTTTCCATCAATTAGTGAAACAATTATTTAAAATATTACTGTGCAAAATTGATAATGTTTTTAGTTTTAAAATTTGAGAAAAACCTGAAAATATTCTCAGTTTTACTAAATAAGACTTATTGGTTCAAAAAATTATAGCTGGGACCTTAATTACCATAACATTTATAAATAGGATTTTTAGGTAACTAACTCGATCTAAAGATAATATTTTAAGAGGGTCAACTATTGAGTTTTGAAATTCAAGAAATAAAATGTAAATGAGTCATAGTTTAATGGAGTTTATTGTAATTTATCCAAAATTTTTTATGAATAGAATTTTTGTTAATGAATTTATTTTCTTTCAAATTTACTTTTTTTGTTTTTTCAACAATGAAGGAAAAAATATTGTAAAAAATCAAGGAAAAAATATTATAAAATGTAAAATAAAAATAGGCAAGATAGCCAAAAATCTCAATTCAACATAGAGTTGACATCTTAAACTGTAGCAAATATGTATTAAATCTGAACTTGCATTAGTCACTATCAAAAGTTTGTAGGGATTCATAAAAACAAAAGAAAGATTGTTGGGATGACTTTATCTAGTTTTTGTTACATTGCATTTGTGATAAAAAATCTGTGCTGTTTATAGCATATTTTTATCTCACATTCAAAATAAATGCAATAATAAAAATTTTATATTTATATTTTTAATAATTTAAAATTTTATAAAATTACTATTTTAAGTGTGAATAGTACGTAATTCTTTTAATAAATAAAGAAAAATCTATAAATCATATATATATATATATATTAAGTTGTGTTTTTTCTTTTCTATATTTAGATGGCATATTATAAGGACTTACTTTTTTCTAAAAGAGTAACGCTAGCATGTATTCTTTTAATTACATATAGAGTTCTACACAAATCTAAACATAATTAAAATTATAGTAATTTTACCTATTTTATATGGACTGTTGACAAATATTTTTTTTCCATATATTTGTTCATATTAAATTGAGATAATTCACAATATCAATACCAATTTTACGTTTCATTCTTTTTTCTTAATTCTTTCAAGGGTATTAAAAAAAAATTCTAAATTGCTTTTCTTTTTTTCTTATTTTTTTTGTTTATTATTCTATACTCAACACTAATTATATGTTATGATTTATCGTTTAAATTTTATAGTGATTCATATATGGAATTATATTTCATTTCTTATATTATTTTATATAATCACAACTCTCATGAGAAAAATCTGTACACAATGATATTCTTGAAGAACTTCTAAAGTTTGGATTTATTGTTTGAGTTTCTTTTCAATTGTTAAATAGTAAGTTATCGGGTAAAACTCATTATTAATCTTAAAAAAACGTGGGTTTAAACTATGACACATTTGCATTTAGGTTTATAGAGTTTAAAATTGAACAGTTAACCCAAAGTATTATGTTGTTACATTTAATATCTTCTATTTAGGGTTCTATTAAAGATTTAAATGAAATATAATCATGAGTGAAGTACATGACACAATTATTAATTTTTTAGAATAAATTACTATTTGATAATCTCGTTTGCACTTTATCTTAGGGTTGGTTTGGCATAACCTATATAATTCATCTTTTTTATTTTTTTTCCATCACATCATCTCTCTACTTTTCTGCACATCTTCTCGTAAAAAAACAAAAAATGCACTTTTTTATGACACCCTAAACCAATCCTTAATTTTGTGTTCTTTTGGGAAGCTGGTAAAAAGTCAACTTCTAGTTTTTTATCAATTTTGAATTATATCACTTATCACGTAACTTATTCATAAAAAGACAAAATAAATTAAAAAAGTCAAAAAGTCAAATTTTTACTAATTTTTCAAAACACTCTTATCTTAAGTGATAAATTACAAACCGACTCATTAAATAAAGGCATTATTATTTTAAAACTGTAGTAAATCCTAATTTTATGTAAATTCTTAATACAATCCTAACAAAAATAAATAAATATTAATAGTAACAAAACAACAGTTGGGAGTGATTAATTGTTAAATTTTGATGTTAACAAAAGGTAAAGTACATGGTTTAAAAAGAATTATTGTAAATTATTTAAATCTTTATTTCAACCGACAACAAATTCCCCGTAACCAAACGCAACGTCAAGTAGGGTGGCTTTGGAACGTATTTCCAGCGTCCCAAACAAGAACACACATTCATGTCAAGCAGCTAGAAAGTACGGGGCAGAAATAATTCTCCTCGTATAATCCTGTTGACCAAGTCCACGCTCCTCCGTACGACGTCGCTTTATCACCTGAAAACACAAACGTGAGCTAGCCGGCGGGTGTGTGCCGGAAACCTCTCCGATGCCTAAGTCAGTAAGCTTGACAAATAGACAAAGTTTTATGCTCTCAGAAAGAATTGTGTCCAATTACCTCCTTCAAGGTGGTGCTTGTGAGCTTTTATAGGTTTCGAGTGGCACAATCCTAGTAGGACTTTTTTTTCTCCATACAGAGTCCTCCTAGGATTCATACTCCTAAGGATAATGCTTATCCTTTTACGCCCTTCCCCACTGCTTAAACCAAGTGGGATGGTTTTCACCATGGCCGAACTACTATATGACCGAAATAGGCTTGGCTATGCAGAGCCACAGAGAAGGCCGAACTGTCCTAAGCTCGGTCTTTTCCTCCAACTCCTTATCTCGGCTTTCCCCTGTTCAACCATGGTGGGTTTAGATCAAACTTCCAAGTAGCAAGTTCTGATCGACCTAACCAAATTATGACACGACCGGACTAAATGCAAGGCCGGACTTACTTCAAATTGCCACTGGACCGGAGTTGCTTTACACATTCTTGAACCGGAGTAACCACACCTCTCCTGGGCCGGAATAACTACACTTCTCCTGGGCCGGAGTACCTATACCTCTACTGGGCCGAAACAACATTA